GGCAAGCAAAGACTGCAAAATTCTTCTACTATACAATCCTTTAGGTGAACACGGTTAAGGGTTGTGCCATGGGTTGGTGCCTTCATCACCAGCAGACCTTTTACCAAAGTTGAATACATTGTTGAGTCTTAGCAGCTGACATTGCTTTGCCAACTACTGTTTCCAAGGTCAATAATGAACATTCAATCTCTATTTCAGTCCTGAGGGTAAATTATTTAAAACATAGTTAATGAACCATCTGTATGGGGTGGTATGGCTCAGAAAGAAGAGCGGTCATCAAGTAATCAGAAGGTTCCTGCTTCGACCGCCTTGTCTGAAGGACAATAACAATGCATAGACACTTCTCTCATACAAATCCTGTTATCTCTGCTCCACAACAATTGGATGGGCCTAAGAGAAGTGCTTATAGGAGCATCACAAATAAATGGCCCGAGATCTGTCTTAATCCAACAACCCGAGTGGGACACAGCGGGAGTGCCGCCGGAGTTTGAAAAGAGGAGCAGAGGGACATCTCCCACACAGTATGGGTCTTCTGAATATTGCTGACTTGTTGCTTCCTCTCTGAGATTTCAGAGCATTTAAGCGCTTAAGAGCTTAAGGGTCAAAGCTAGAAATTGGGTTAATTCAGATTAGACGAGTCTGTGGTTGGTGTATAAAGACCACCAGGCTATTTGACCAAACCACTCAATCTGACCCATATAAGATAGTGCTGTTTCACGTCTAGACTGGGTATAAATTAAACCTTTTATCAGTGCTTGTTGCAGTAAGATGTAAAGGAATAAGAAGTATTCGTCAGCGTTGAGCTTTACAGTCTTGACAGTATACTGATGATGTGAGAGCTCACATACATGCACATGTAGCTGTAAATGCAGCTGATTGTCAGACGATCACATTATACTGCACTCGGCACGGAAACGTTGGACCGCCACACATAAAAGAGGCAGACACATTAGTGTTGCTTGGACAGTGCATATTACAGGATTTGTAATATGATCATATAATAGGTGCATAACCGCATGCCTCCAGTGTGATTTATGACCACGGACGTTTTCATTTCCTATTTTATCTTCACATATATGGCTGTGATGAATGCCTGATCATCTTTCAGTTTGAACATCAATTATCTTGCGTGTGATATTGAGTCTGTCATCGGACTGTTTCGGGACAGATGTGGACTTCATTTGTCTGTCGTCAAATGTGGCTTTTAGCAAGAGCAAAACGCTTTGGTGACATCGCTCACCATTTTACCACAAGGAATGAATGATCTCGTTCAGCATTAAGCAGCAAATATGTGGCTGGTGTGAAACAACGGCGAGGCAGGTTTTAATTAGAGACTTTTGCAGTGTCAGTGGGTGAGAGCGTTGACAGCTAAATGGACACAGGAGAAAGGAAAATTACAGTTAAATGGAGAAAAAGCATCGTCGGTCAGGTGAATTCTCCATGTAGAAACAATTAGGTGTGAGCTTTCTATCGGAGGTGACTGTGTGTGCAGAAGTATTTGTGAGGCAGTGTGCTCTGGACAGGGCTCGCAGACTGAAAGGCTATTTAGGATGCCTTTTTTATTCATCCAGAGATAGAGCTTCCCCGCTGGGAACAGGACAGCGTGCCTTATGAGCCGATGTGTGACAGCATGGGTACATCCGCACGGAGCAGGGAGGGAAACGTAAACAAGGCTTTTAAAGGCCTCATTAGACCGAATTCTTGAGCGGAGAAGGAAATGTTGTTTGAAGAAAACATTAGAGCACGGTGAAAAAAGGGCGTCACAATATCCTAAAGCCCAAAGTGACATCGTCAGACATTTTATTTTATCCGACCAATAATTCAAACCCAAAGACATAATTTTTCTTCATGGTAAGACCAAGAAAAGCAACAATTCTCACATGAACATGAACTACGATAACGATTGACAGCCTTGAATTATGGATACATTTTCTCGACTAATAGATAAAACAACTGATCGTCGTAGCACTATTCTTTACAGTTTTATAAACTTGTTACAACCAAGTGATCAATCAAGTGAACATTCAAATTCCACATCAGGGTTCGATTCCCGGTCGTTGAACCACTTGCTGTGAGGCGACGGGGCTTACCACTGCACCACGGCTGAGCCACTTTGTCTTAATGTGTGTAATGTTCATCAAAAGGCAAAAGTAAAAAAACTGCAGAAAACAAAAGTTTCGAAAAATAGTTTTTCAATGTATAATTTAGCACTTATCTCACTCACATCCGATGTTTATTTTTAGGAACACTGCAAAATTCTGGCGAGGGATGAATACCCTCTTTCTCACCCCTCTGTCCGCCGCCCTCTCAGAGGTTAAATTCCTATTATGCATGTGTGTGTGTATTAGTACGCACGCGTGTTCGCATACACAGTTTCTTACCTCATGCAGGCGGGCGCTGTAAATATTAGCTTTTCAAATGAACATGGCCACCCTCAGATATTTAAAGGCTGAACTTGAGAGGCTTTCTCTTTCCTTTTTTCTCTTGGCAGTCTGCTCCAAACCAACAGAAGACGGCTTGGTCACATTCAACAAACATTAAGTAACCGTTGACTTCAATCTCCTACTGCAGCTCATTTTGGACTTTGGGAAAGGAGGAGCTGAGAAACGGCGCTGGGTTCACCTTTAATGCAAACAAACAGATATTAGCAGAAGCCTGCTGCTTCATATAATGCCGTAGGGTTATTCCCAGATTATAAAGCAACACACATAACCCGAGGACAGTCGATGTCTGTAGCTAGACCTAAACACTGCAGACACACAATAGTATATTTTGCAGGGTGGCATGTATCATGGGCCTCTCCCTACCCTGGAGACAGACAGTGATAGAAAGCAGTGATCCTATGGTTAGCCAGCGGCCACAGGCATGCAGAAAATGAGACCTTGAAGAACTGTCGGGAGACGCTGTCACTTTTTCCGAGAAATGTCCATTCAGGGAGCTAGCCTGCATATTTCAGGATGAGAGACAAGCAAGTGGCCTTTAAACATTTTCAAGCTACAGAGAAGAAACTAAAGGCACAAAGGTCTTGCTGATAGACAGATAGATGAGACAATATTGATAAAAAAAAAACCTCCCACAGTTTTCTCCTCCAGGAGTTGGCCTCCCCTGACAGCGAACCCTCTCACATTCTTTAAGAGCACAGAGGAGGTCGTCACTGTGCTGCGGTTCAATGTCTATAGTCTAACATTACATCAATTAGAAAATCAATTAGCAAAAACACAATAGACAGCTGAGCCCTAAGGTTCCACAAGGCTATTTAAGCAGAGGATGCTGAATGAAAGGATCTTTTAGTTTCTTTATTGGGCGGCTCGGGGAGGCCAGAGTTTGGGGCTGTTTTGAGGTTTGGAGTTGGCCAAACGCTTTTCAGCTATTGGCTGCTTTTGGACAGCACGAGGTTGTTTACTACATTAACAAAAAGGTGATGTGTTTTTGTGGTACAGGCTGATTTGTATTGGTTTACCCTTGTTTGGATACCGGTTGCCAAGAGAGATCTTTCATCGAGCCACTCGCTTTAAACCATCAGTGACAGAAGGCTTGCAGGACACCGTAAACGCAGGGAACAGTTTTTGTTTTCTGTCTGCTGTTAGTTTTTGTTGTAGGACACACATGACAGAGGAAAAAACAGATGTAACTCATTTTTCCCTTTATTTTATTTATGGAAACATTTACTTTTTAGTTACTGACATAGATGTACAGAGTTATTAATATCAATGCGATTTATATGTGAAATTGAACATTTTCCACTATTTGTGTCCACTTTTTTGTCATTGCTTACCTTCTAATCAATGAGAGCAGTCTATTATGTTACTCAATGTTTTAACAATAGTTTAGATGGGTGGTTGGCTAGTTTAGGAGAGGAGAGGAGAGAAGAGGAGAGGGCTCTCCTAAATCCGTGTGGCTCTGTGTGTTTTTCTTCGTTTCTTTTTTTTTTTCCTCGAGTAGCACAATCAGAAAGAGTCATTCATTCATGTCCAGCTGCCGGCGTGGTCTTCATCGTCCTCTCTTCGCTGCTGACAGGAAATTCTGACCTGGAGTCTTTTTGCGCCCAGACGTATACGGAGAGAAAGATGCAAAGCCTAGATAGAGAAATGTGGCTTAGTGTGTGAGCACATGCATTCAATGCAGGGCGAAGATGCAGGAATGAACTAAGTGTTTTTTGCTTGCATCCGTGCGTCTTTGTTTCCGGTAGAGAATCCTGCTGAACTTAGATCTACCTCTTTTATATCATTTTTATATCATTTCCTTTATTTCTGTACTCTGTGCATCCTAATTGTCCTTAACTTGTGTTTTGGGGGGATACGGTTGCTCAGCAGTGTGGCTTATTCTCCCCCAGCCTCTCTTCTTTTTAAATCAGCAGCTCTCATTGCGGAGCTGGACTCTCTCACGTTAATGTAGTTGTTAACGGCCTGTGGTCAGCAGGCGGTTTGTCCGCCCAGAGAGGGACACTGTTGCATCTGTACGTCCATATTCCTGCCTTCTGACTGACGTGTTTTGATAAAGAACTAATAGATGCAGAAATGTATGGTTGTTTTTTCTCTAATAATCTCTAACATATTATGCTTCATCATTCTTGTTGTATTAATTACAGCCACTTTCATCAAAATCTGCTTATTCACGTCTTTTGTGTCACTTCAACGTGTCGTAGTGAGAGTATTAAGAATAGCACTTGTAGGAGAGTCACTAGCTGCAGTCTAATAAACATCTTCACCTATAAACCTACATATCTTTCAGCAGCTCTACGACATTATTTTGATTCATGACACTGAGCTGTGGGTGTTTTACAAAGTAAAGATGACACCGACTGTTAGTGCACAGCTTTGACTCTGCATTTCTGCCCTCGTCACTAAAAACGTCCCTGCTTCTCAGCTGTTGAATGTCCATACTGTTTATGAGTTTGGCTTTTCTGTACCCAACACAACAGATAACTGTAACTCCCAAGTGTGCGAGTGTGTGGTTCAGGTCTGTTAAATCCACTCCGTCTGTGTCTCTCATCTCTGCAGGAGTCGGAAGATCCAGATCCGGAACATTCCCCCTCATCTACAGTGGGAGGTCAGTTGTTTGTCTGTGTATGTGTGTGTGTGTGTGTGTGTGTGTAAGTGATGCAGTGAAGCACCAGGTAGCACATAAACTGGTCTCCCAACCATGAGTCACCAGCTTTTATACTTTGTTCTCTGTAGACTTGAGCATTTGGGTGCTTGTATACACTTATATCTTCGTCAGTGGTAGTTACTTTGTGAATGACACTGTTTCTGTGCATCAATATCTGCGACCTCGCTGGGGTCCACGTTGGTTTATTTTCTGTGCGAGTGTCTCTGTCGTCATGCCTGACGATTCTCCTATTTCTCAGGTTTATAACTATATATATCCAGATTATCTACTCTCTGAGAAAACTCACAAAACTCCTCAGATCACTTTGGAATTTAGAAATAACAGACTCTCACTCTTTGTTTGACAGATATAAAATGTAGTCATATATATGCACGTGCAGTAGTAAATAAAATGGGGAGTAAACCCTTCCCTAATTTCAGATACTCTATCCAGGCAGACATCTATAAATGAATATATAGTTATAAATCTCAAATATAATATAATCTTTGTGGCCTTTATTATAGATCATTATTTGGAATAAAACAGCAAAATTACATTACTAATATAAACGACCTTCAACGGCACCAGAAAACATTCATAATTTAACTATAGTTTTGTGTGTTGTCCATGTATTAAAACATCATTCTGTGAGTTATATCAATTCTTTAATGTTGTCCTCTGAATTTAACATTTGTATTATAGTTGGTACCTTTAAAAAGCAGTTACCATGTCCTCAATAAGTTCTTAGTAACTTTCAAACTTACTGAACCAGGTTTTATGAACTCATATATGCCTCAAATAGTAAAATCCAAGTTTGTGTAAATCGGTTGCTACGAAACAGCTGGAGAGACGTCCAATCACAAGCAATCAACTGTGTAAACATTATCATACATTACAAATGTCAAAGGGAATTTAAATGAGTCTCTTAAGTTCTGTTTGCTTCCACTCGCTACATTGTTACTTGATCATTGGCCCACATAAACACCAGGAGCACCAGACGTGTGTGTGTGTGTGTGTCTGCGTGTGTGTGTATCCTTGCGTGTGTTTTCAGTGGCTGTCGTTCTCTAACCCACGCTCTCATTTCTCCCTCAGGTTTTGGACGGCCTTCTCGCTCAGTATGGTACTGTAGAAAATGTGGAACAAGGTACAGAACTCTTCTCCTCCCTGTTTTCTTCACATCACATCATCATCTGGCTCCAGCTTTACAATGCACGTGTGTCTATTTAGCAACACACACACACAGACCTCCCAGTGAGTCAAGTCTCTTGTGTGACGTGACTTCCTCGTTACCACCATCCCACACACCGATTATCTAAACATAACCCATCTTTGCATATAAATCAGCCTTTATCATCTTTTCTGTCTGTGCGCACGTGTGTCATATCAATTTGATCCAGGGAGAGCAGCTTTTCAATTACATGCAGCCTCTATAATAAGCACTGTGTATTGCCACGGGTCCCCTTGGTCTCAGTGTATGGATTGAAGTGGGCAGACATCCAGCAGTAATGTGTCTATATATGTGTGTTTGTTTATGCCTGTACGTGTTTGCTTGAGCGCGTGTTTTGTTGAGGGGCATCGGGGTAATGGGGGAGGACTCTGTAGGCGCCTGTGGTGAGGCTTTTGCACAGTCTGATGGAGTTTGTGTGTATATGTGTGTGTGTTTGTCTGTGTGTGTGTTTATTTGTCCCCGTGTGTGCTCGTCTACTACTCGTGCATGTGTGTGTAGACAGCTAAAAGTTCATAGGGCTGACTAACCTGCATGCACGCGCACACACACACACACACACACACACAGTGTCTCAGCATGCGTCAAAGCAGCCAACACCAACTACCGCCCACTCTAGTCATGACAGGTGCTAAAAGAAAAACCAGCAGAGAAATTACTCCACTCAGAGTTTCCCAGACGCCGGCGTAAAATGGCCCACTTCATCTGTACTGTGGCAGACACCGGCGCAGCATTTCCTCTTTCTCTTTCAGCCTGGCTCCACAAGCGTCAGCCCAGTAGCCGCGTATGATCAACCCTTTTCAAGAGAGCCAGCTCGCTCATGTTTCTGTCCCCGCTGTAGTCGCCTTCTGTGTCTCTGTCCAACTTCCTGTCTGTCTGTCACTTTTTCTCTGCCCACGTCCGTGCGCTCTGGTTACGAGGGGAGGTTTTGGAGGAGTCCCATGGTCTTCTGTGGCATGGTGAAGGCTGCCCGTGGCGGGGCAGGGCTGGTGGGGTGGGGCGGGGCAGAGCTGGCTGTGAACACTGGGGCCGGGCACCATGCCATGCTCTGCCCACTCACCCTCTCTAAGCCAGCCGGGCAGTCTCTCTGATTTTTACCCTTCCAAACCTGCTGTCCGCAGCGCTCTCAAAGGTTTGGAAGTTTTCGTTTTCACTGACAGAGAGATTAGATCTGATGCCTATTTTTTATTTCCGCCACTTTTCAAAAGAAAGAAAGTCCACTTTAAAACATTTGTTTCACTATTTCTATGACTCATAGAAATATATTTTCCGAGAAATCTAAAGTATCTGCATCGGATGTTTTTTTTAAGCAGGCTTTGGCATCCTTCCTGGCCATCAAAGAGCAGTGGCTTATTTGTTGACTCATCATTTTGACATTTTACAGTTACACAAACAGAGATCCTTGGTTGACATAGCGGAGATGCCGTTGTCTCTTCTGACAGAGGACTTGGTAGACCAAAAGGCATTTCATGAATAAGACATACTGTGTTATACTTACATACACATTTGAGTTACATAGAAAAATATCCCTAAAAAGCATTTAATATGATGGCTGGTGATGTGCTTATTTTGCCACACTACTCAACTTTTAGTTATTGGTAGTCCACAGTCTAATTATATCCCATTTACAATATCACAAGCTAACAAAAAGCTGGAAATTCTCCTAACTGAGAAGCTGAAACTGGGAAATGTTTGTCATTTCGGCTTGAAAATGTATTTAAATTATTAATTGATCATCAAAATAGTTGCAAATTAATTTTCTGTCAATCAAATAATTAATGATTTGACTCATCGTGAGCTTGTTTTAACATTGCATGTGCTAACTGTGGACACCTGAGTCAAAAGTCAGCCCGCAGTTCAATCATTTAAAGCATGCATGGTCGCAGTGGGAATCAAACCCATAACTGTGGCAGAGTTACCTCTGAGCAGCAGTGCAGAACCAATAGTCTTCCCAAGGTGTGACCCAGTGGTTGCACTTTATCATCGATAACTTGTTTTCTTTAGGCTGCCGTGTCGGACTTAAATCCGTTATTGTGCAAGTGGCAGAGAGGCTATTGTGTTTAGCAGCTCCTGTCTGTAGAGGCAGCTGCCTGGTCTGGAGGGAAGCCAGTGTGGTGATGGCTGTAATGGATTCACACAGAGAAGAGGCTCTTTGGGTCACCTCGAGAACCTGGACACGTGTCTGACTCACCTACAGCAACAACAAAGACCTACTCTACTGTTGGCATGTGTAAATGTGGCCCGAACATTTGTTAACTTTATTTTATGTTTTTCTCTCTCTCTCTCTGTCTTGTCTCACAGTGAACACGGATACAGAAACAGCAGTGGTGAATGTTACGTTCGCAACCAAGGACGAAGCTAAAGAGTAAGCAGCACAAATATTTACTCTAATTCTAAGTACTAAAATTAAGGCTTGTGATGTACCTTTTTTTTTTTTTTTTACCTATGCACAGACAAGCAGCATTGTTTACCTACTTGTCTGTGTACTTTTTGTGTACCTGGAGGATTAAAAAGTACATCCACAAGGAGCAAGGCCGAATCGTTCCGTGTGTAATCAAACACGGTGACACCCAAGGAAGTTGCTTCCTAGTTCACATTTTCTCACCCAGGAGCTGAGATTTTTGAAAATGGTGCCCACAGTGGATGAATCCTAAAAAGCCGGCTTAACGTTTCAGTGTGTAAAGGGAAAATGTAAATGAGAACAAATACATCGTGAGTGTGTCTGTATTAAAACACAGTGTACGTGATCACAGAGAGCAGGAAGAGACCTTTTTCGTTTAAAATTGAAATTGATAACATTAACACTGCATGTCCCAATAAGCTATTCCACTGAGCCAGTTTGCACAATACCACGGCCTCTTGTAATTGAAATGCAAATTGCCTGTTCCTCCCCCCAGAGCTATTGAGAAGTTAACGGAACACCAGTTTGAAGACTACTCTTTCAAGCTGTCATATATTGTGGACATGGATGCTGCTCCGCCCGACCAGGCTCCCCGCACGCGGCGCGGGGGTCGGTCGTCCCGGGACCAGGGCACCTCTCAGCCCGGGCCCTCGGGAGACTATGGCGCTCCACGCAACAGACAACACGACTTCCCCTTGCGCATGCTCGTGCCTACTCAGTTTGTGGGAGCCATCATTGGCAAAGAGGGCCTCACCATCAAGAATGTCACCAAACAGACACAGTCCAAGTAAGCTTACTCTGATGACCTTGCGTGGTTGCTGCTATTTTTTAGCTTTCCTGTTTTTTTAAATGATTTTACCAACTTCTCAAACAGCTCTGCTCTTATTTTGCTGAGGCTTGAATGAATTGGGCATTTTGGCACTGTTTATCGAAGCTTGCATTTGAAAACCAATAGTCTGAGATTTGACGCAAGATGGCAAGCAATAAAATAAATTGTCAGATTTTGGAAATGAGAAACCCAAATAATTCACGGCATGTTTACTTACTCACCTTATATTTTTATTTTGTGATTAGAACACCATCCGATTCTTAAATTGCTACCCTTCTTTTTCATACCTTAAATTGTTGTCTTTTTGATCTTCTTTTCATTACATTCATCACCAACATAATTATTAATTTATACACAATGCAAGGAGATTTTACTCTGACTGTCTGTCTGTCTCTCCCTTTCTCAGAGTGGACATTCATCGGAAGGAAAATGCAGGTGCGGCAGAAAAGCCCATCACCATCCACTCAACTCCTGATGGCTGCTCATCCGCCTGTCGCATGATCCTGGACATCATGCAGAAGGAAGCCAGCGAGACCAAGACGTGAGTCTTCACTTTGACATACACAAAAAAACGCATACACGCACTCAGATGTTGCTTATGCAGAGCATGCATATGCTCCCACAGAGAGATTAACCATAATGTCTGCAGGGCTGTAATCTTATCCTTTAACCTGCCTGCACACCTTTTAATCTCACTGTGCATTCTCTCGCTTGAAACACTAACACAGTAAGCGCAGTAAGCACACGACACACTCACATAGGCAAACACGTGATCGCAGCTTAGCATTTAAGAAACGAGGCCAACTTGTCTAATTGTGCGTGAGACTTTTAACAAGACACTGCACCTTTTAAACTCTTTGAGCTTCTGCTGGATCTTAGCATCAACACCCAGCTTGTGTGTATGTCCATATTTGTTTTGAAGTGCGTTCAGAAAAAGACATTTGCATTCATTTAAACCAAAACGTTCTCTTCTTGCATTCTAGGAAAGTTTACGCTTAAATTTGCTTCGTTAAAGGCTATTTATTTTCTCATGCCCAGTGTTTTGTATCAGCGCGGGCTCCTATTGAATCAGAGAATATTTGAGCATTAAGCATAGACACATATTTCAGACTGTGCTTCCTGCCAATCTCCTGACATCTAGAGGAAGTCTTAGACATCTAGAGGAAGTCTTAAATCTTTGTGATCACAGCTGTGGTCTTATTCTTCTTTTGTTTGCTAGGAAGACATCCAAGCCAGGTTTCATTCTGTTATAGGAACAGTTCGACATTTTGGGAAATATAAGGGGGAAACCTGGGGAAACAGCTCGTCTGCCTATATCGCATTTGTTTCACCTGCACAAAACTGAAATACAATTCACTGTTTTAATTAGTGAGCTTTTAGGTGGATTTTGTTTACTTTTGGACAGAGCTTGTATGCTACGCTAAACTAACTGACTGCTGGCTGTAGCTCCCTGTTTACTGCACAGAGTGGTATCGATCTTCTCATTTAATTCTTAGCAAGATGCCACACATTTAGAAATGAACATAGAATAGAATAGAAACCCTTTTTATTGTCATATACACATACACGAAATTTGACCTCTGCATTTGACTGTCTACAAAGAAATATCACAAATAATTGGAAATCTGAATAAATACTTAAAATTGTTTTACAGAAAATAAACTCTGGTAAATCATCATAATCTGTGCGACACAAAAGAAAATGGAACTCACTTTCCACTTCACCTAAATTACACAGTTTACACCATCTGTTGTTCTCCTGCATATATTTTATATCTACCAACTTCAACAACAAGAGGAAGAATACCAGTTCTCAACTGTGACTCTGAAGATAATCCTTCGATACTACATAAAAGTCCTTGATATTGGATTTGACAAGCAGCATTGTTTTTTGTTGCATGCTTGCCCAGATTTAAAACTTCAATTCATTTGGAAGTGTACCAATTGAACACTGTCACAATTGAACCAATATTTACTGGTTCTTTCCAGGAAACTTCCTCAGAACATATTAGGAAATAATGAGGAATTAAACTAAATCATTTAGCAGGACTGCAGCACATTATCAGCAGATCATTTTTGTTTCTAGCCTGTTCTTTTCTTCTCCTCCTATTACCTGAAGCTGTGGTTGTTGCAACAGTACTTTGTTTACTGTAAACCGCAGTGAACAGTGTCTTCTTGATGCAGGAAACGTTTGGTTGCATGTGGACCCAGAAAGAAATGGGTTGAACTGATCTTCGTTCTTGTAAAAGAAAATCTGGTCATTTTTCTGTGAAAATCTGTAAAAGGCATAATTGTTCACACATCACTAAATAAATAGCTCATGTCTTAACATTGTGCCCTGTGCTTTAACCAGCTGGTCAGCTGTCCAGATTCCTGTTCATCCCCATCACACCATGACATATCTCACACCACATCAGTGACACTCAGCGGCGCTTATCTTCTATTATCTAACCTTAGTGTCTGTATGTGTGTGTGTGTGTGTGTGTGTGTTTGTATATGTAGGACGGAGGACATCCCTCTGAAGATCCTCGCCCACAACAGCCTGGTGGGCCGGTTGATTGGGAAGGAGGGCCGCAACTTGAAGAAGATCGAGGAGGACACAGGGACCAAGATTGCCATCTCCTCGTAAGTCGCCTCTTCCACTGCTCCCGCCTTCCGCTTTCACACACGCCTACGGCAGTCTGCTGCTACGCTGGTAGCCATACTAGCACCTTCAGGAAAACACACACACACACACACACACACACACACACACACACACACACACA